GCCATCATCTAAGGAAGAGAGGATCATCCGATGCAAAGGAAGCAAAGGAACATGCAAAACGACAAAATGACGGGACTCGAAGTTGTCTCACAACTAGTGAGACAGCATACACTATCTCGTACTTCTGAGACAATGTAGACTGTCTCGAAAACCGAGACAGTAAGAGCTGTCTCAGAAATTGCGAGATGACGTGATGTGTTTCTAACGGGTTTTCTCGCGTTTCGTACGATCCATGTGGCTCCATAACTGCTTTGGAACATCCATAAACATGGAGAGACCATTACAAACTAAAAATCCACCCATAATCCCCAAAAATCACTGTATTTAATAGAATATGTGTCGGTTACTGTTTGGTAGAAAATTTGTGAAATGAAGATGAAAGAACTGTGTTTGATTTTTATTCTCTCTAACTGTTTAGAAAAAGAATGTTTATAACTCTCTCAATCTTAATTATAATTTGGATTTTCTAATTACAAAATAGAAGAGAATTGATCTAAATTTTCTCTTTTGTTTAATTCTGGGTTCTTCACGGTGGTGATGGAGTGTCCCTCGAATGCTCACGTCGAGTTTGCTCTTTGTTGACAATCTGAACGTCTTGATTCACTAGAACGATATCTTCTCCTCGCGATTTGACGTTGTAGGGAACTTGCAAAGCAAGTTTAAAACTCTGAACGATTTGATAACTCAGAACGAGTTTAAACTATTGAAAAAGAGTTGATTTGAACCGAAAAATCGGTTAATAAACCAAGGGAATGCTCCAAAAACTTTGTTGTTGCAGGAAGCTTGAAGATGATCTGCTGCAGGAAGCTCGAAGATGATCCGAAGAAGTCGGTCTCTAGATCTCTAAGATACTCCAAGATCCAAAAGATCTAAACCCAGTTGAGTTTACTCCTATGTATAGGGGATTAAGGGGTGTAACCGCCCCCCATAAATCTCTCCATGATGGGGTGGTGATCCCCTCAAATTGTGGGGATAAAACAATTTTGAAACCTTTCAGTTCGTGTTTTGAATGAGTCAAACGTTGAAAAATAGCGTTCAGGGCCCGAACTCTGCGTTTTAGACTTGAAACGCAGAGTTGGGCCTATTTTGGTGGCTGAACGCACAGGTCGCGTTGCGTCATAAATCTAAAATGTAGAGTTAGGACACAGAGATGAACTCCGCGTTTTGAGTCCGCGAACTCTGCATTTTTAACTGGAGCACTAGGGATGACCTCTGCGTTTTGACTCTGAAATGTGGGCATGACCTCTGCGTTTTGATGTTGTAACACAGGGATGACCTCTGTATTTTGATGGTTGTAACACAAGGATGACCTCTGTGTTTTAATAATAAAACACAAGGATGACCTCTGCGTTTTGATGTAAAGAGACCATCGATTTGTGGTCTCTTTTGCTGGAGCGTTACAAAGACTGTCATCTTGTAATCTTCATCTTGGCTCCTTAAAAATATGAGAGTCGTCAGATTGTAACTCTCGATGTTGATTGTGAAGACTGTTGGTTAGAGCTTTCATCAGTTGTTACGAAGTTTGTCAGATTGTAACATTCATCGATCTATGTGAAAGTCTTCAAATTATAGCCTTCTGAAAGCCGTCGAATTGTAACTTCCATCATCGGTGTTTGATGGGGATTGACTATCTGTTGTGATTTTTAGACAGCCTACAGTTATAAATTGTCTAGAGTCACCTCCTTTGGTCGAGACAGTAAACACTGTCTCGCCCAAAGGGGTTAATGATCACGGTTTGTTTCAATTTCTTATCTTCAGTAATGACTTTCGAAGGCTATAAACACCCCTTCAGCACCCATGTGCATGAGGTAGAAGCAGATCTGAGAGTGGAGACTTGATATTTTGGCGAATTTCGAGCACGGGAGAGAGAGAGAGAGAGAGAGAGAGAGAGAGAGAGAGAGAGAGAGAGAGAGAGAGAGAGACTTGATATTTTGGCGAATTTCGAGCACGGGAGAGAGAGAGAGAGAGAGAGAGAGAGAGAGAGAGAGAGAGAGAGAGAGTCTTTCACTGTTTTCAAGCAATCACAAGATCCTTCGTTGTTTCCTCAATAGTAAACATAGATTTGATATTGAGAAGAGTATGTATCTTACTTTGCTAAGATATCTACTTCGGTTCTTGTTTCCAAGTCGAAACATCAACATCAAGCCTTCTTCACGATCAACTTGGATCATTGAATCGCTGGTCCACTGATCAAAGCGTTCCACGCACAGGTAAAGATCCCACGCAAACAAAGGCTAATAAATAGTTTATGTGTGTGTTACTAGGGAATATCCCAATTTTTATTTTTATTTTTGTAGAGAGAAGTTTTACAAGTGTAAGGTTCACTCTTTTGTTTCCATTATAATGATAAATGATTGTAATTGAAGCTGCAATAAAACTTATTCCTGACCCAAATAGCTGTTGACGCCAAGTTTCTGATCCTCAACTTATCGTAGAAACGTGTGAAGGTCTGGCTAATGAATTGGGGCCCATTATCATGGATGATGCGTCTTGGGACACCATACATGTATATGATGCAATGTTTGATGAATTTGATCACATCACTTGTTTTGACTAATCTCAACTGGACTACTTCAGCCCGTTTGGAAAAGTAGTTAGTTATCGCTAGTATGAAGTGATGTCCTTTAGAGGAAAGTGGGGAAATTTGGGCAATAATGTCTATATCCCACGTTTCAAATGGCCATGATGTAGCCGAAGGATGCAAATGCTTCGGTGACTGGTACTGTAGTTAGCATGTATCTGGCAGGCGTGACACCGTTTAGCATAAGCGACGGCGTCCCTGATCATATTTGTCTAGTAGTAGCCAAGTCTGCGTAGTCAGTCCCACAATTTAGGTACTGGCTGGTGAGCTCCACAGATGTCATGGGTCTCTTTCAGGGCTTCTTTTGCTTCTTTGCTTGATAAACAGCGAAGCAATAATCCATCGTATGACCTTCGGAGTTTTGTATATATTAAGGGACCTCTAGATGAGATTTTCTGTTCAATTTGTTTTTGGGGAGGTGGCTATTGTCTTCAAAAATGTAATATGTCATAAAACTTTAGTTAGTTATATCCTTGAAGTTTGGGGATATAACTATATTTTATGAACAAAATATACTTGCTATGTTAGAATTTTTTTTTTTTGGACAAGTTTTTTGGCAAGCAAAGTTTGTAGCTCCTGAATTTGAAATCTTGGATGGAAAGCAAAATTACTTGGTTGGTGTAGCTGTACACTATTGAGAGATGATTATGTTTTAAACAAGCATATGTTCCTTACAAACTAGGCAAAGATGCTCCTATGCCGAATAACAAATCCAAATAAAACAGACAAAGATACAACTTACTTTATGCTTCAAAGTTAAACAGGGTTTATCCTGACGTTTTTTTTTTTTTAATGAATTCTCTATTCCCTGTTTTGTATACCAGACCAATGAAAATAAGGTTGGTGAAGCTGAATTATATTGTTTACTATTGTAATACTCTCTGATTGTATTATATGAAACTGTTCGAAATCATGGTACATCTACGCAAAGTTCAAAGCACAATATTTGAAAAAGAATCAGTTTAAGCCAAAACATTTACAAAATTTGGAAAATTGAGTTATCTTAAACAAACCTCACTCAATCCGACCCGCTATTGAATTCCCTACGAACAACACAACCTATCCCAAACCCGTAACCGTTACCAATATCAATGTTCGGCTCGTCTGAATACAAACCTTATCAGAACACTCGCTACACGAGTAGGATATTGTGACTCATAAAAGAACACTTTGTAATCTGCAAAATGCTGGCCCCCCAAAAGCCTCACGCTACATCTTCCACTGTAACGGCCCCCGGATCGGATGCGGTAGTGTTCTTGGATCTGCGAGATGAGCGGCTAGACCCGCTATCGGATCCTTTGCTTCGCCTCTCTTTCTTCTTCTGTTTGGGTATGGTAGGGAGGTCTGCGGTGGAGGGGTCGCATTCGGACCCGTTAGTGTTATCGGGTTTGCGTTTGCGGTTGCGCCTGCCGCGGCGGGATTCCGATTCGCTAGCGGTGAATCGGATCCGGCACGGGAGAAACCGGCTGACTCGTTCTTGCGCGTGTGCGGGACCCAGCCGCTCGCGTGAGGAGGAGTGCGAGGTCTCTGGCGCTGAGTGGCGTCGTGCGCGGCGCGGCTTCGCCGGTCCCGCTTCGTCACGTAGGCCGGGGAGGGTGGGGGGACCGCCGAGAGAATTCTCTACAGCCAATCAGAAGAGAGATTTAGATTTTTCTTCATTTTTTTTTGCTTTTAGCCCCTTTGAAATTTAGATGCTTTGCATTTTAGACATGCATCCTTTTCTTTCTATTATACATTTATGTTATGCGGGGAAAAGTAAAGCTCGAAATAAATTTAAGTGAAAAGGATCCCTTGTCTACTAATTTGTTTAATCCATAATATAGTTTTGAGATTCATATTATACGTTGAAACTGTCTTTGATCAGGTGTGCGCATTAATGTGTTTTATATGCCAGTACAACCCTCAAAGTAAAATCTACTTATAAAAAATTTGATGGACAAATAGCTATTATTCACTTAATTTACAAGAGCTTACCTCAGAAAACTTACGTGCTTAAAAATGATAAATATATCATATAAACAATCTCAAGTAATTAAACACAATGAAAAAAAAAACTAAAGAAAATATTTGTTAGCCAAAAGACAAACTAGATGACAAAGGACTGTCGAGTCCTAGGCACTATTTGGCAACCAAAAAAAGTGTCTTATCTAAGAGCTTGTGTCTTATTGACTTGGTCAATAAGCTAGTAGAGCTGTTTGGTGACCAAAAATAGGAGAAGATTATTTTGAAGATTGTGTCTTTTGCAATTAGCTTTTGGAAAGCTATCTCAAGTAGCGTTTGTCTTTGGGAATGAGCTGTCAATTTTTTTCTTCCGTTTTTACCCCTAATAATTCTAATTTTATATCAATAATATTGCATGTTCTTTTTAGTCATTTAACAAATTTAAGCTAGTTGTACAGCTTCTTTTGCCAAACAGCTTTAGTCAATCAGCTAGCTACACAACTATCAGCTTTCAGCTATAATTTCACAGCTTTCAACTAGCTTGACAGCTTCCAGCTATAATCTCGCAGGTTTCAGCTAGTTTTGTCAAACAGTGCCCTAACCTTGAGATGCAGATTTTGGTGAGCCAGTCTGTCTTCGGTCCTGACCAAATGTAGTGCTCAATGGTGCCGAATGATACTCAGTCATCTGTTAAGTTTTTTTGGAGACAAAATTAACAATTAGTAAGAAAAGAGGGTAAAGAAAATCTATAGGGGGTAAATTACAAGAAAACTCAGTTTTTAAAATTACTCAGTCATCTAGTTAACTTGTCATGCACCTCGTTGTGCATGTTTATTTAATTTGTTCTATCATCTCCTTCATAATGAGAAATTAAAGTTGCGTTCTCCTGTGAATTACAAAAGTTCTGAGCAGAGAGGGTTCTTTTTGTTGAAATTGATAGATGGATAGGTTTCTTGAAAATTTGGATAGAGATCGAGGGGGTTCTTATAATATGTTACCCAAATCCAACTACAAAAAACCTTGAAAATTTTCTAAACTATCAGGGAAATTTAAGTTACCCAAGTAGGATTATTTACGGCAGGTCCATCAAATCCAATATGTGCCACGTGTTTGACGTCGGTTGGATGGCCTATCACCATTTCTTGTTCTTTTTCTTGCTCTGCATCAACAAGGAAGTAAAAAAAAGATACATATTATGCTCGCATAAATTTCTAGCTTTAAGAATGATAAATCTAAATGGAGTTGTTCTATAGGGACCCCAAATCATGGGATCTAGGGGGGAAAGGTAAGGTATCAACCCCTGGGTGCATGATCAACTGTTCATGAACAGTAGATCATGCACCCAGGGGTTGAAAACTCACCTGTTCACCCTTAGGTCCCATGATTTGGGGTCCCCAAGGAATTTTTCATCTAAAGGTGTACTGCAATTGCAAACGTCAAACTCACCAAATATATTTGAGATGTACTTCAGACCCTTTCGAAGGCCACCTTTCACTTTCATGGGAGGTATCGTGCCCAACATTTTTGCCGAGGCTTTATAACTTGAACTTTAACTAAGCACGCCAAAGTTTCACATAATATGAGAAGAGAGTTACAAAAGGATAATGCGGGTTAAATTTTGTAAAAAATCATGCCATGCAATAGTGAGGGCATGCATAAGTTAACTAACGTGTAGAGAACCATGAATGCACTGGTATTTATCCAAAAAAAAAATTGTATACAACATAAGAAAAAGTTAATTGCACATAGACAGACCCCTTGGTATTATTTTATTGCATTTTTCACCCCTACAGTTTCATTCTTAATTTCAGGTAGATCCTTCGGGTTAGATTTTGTTGAAATCGAAGAAGAATAACAGATTTTGAGGGGCTCCGGTAATGGGTAAGGGTTTGATTTTGTTTCTGTGTTACATATTTCTCAAGGAGATTACTCCTCTTTATATAGGAGCCAGAACCCATTATCTTCACCCCCTCATAACCGCTCCTGAGAAAATTTATCTCAAGAAACCCAATTTTTCTCCACGTTCTTCTCAAACGAACGTTGATTTAGTCATCTTAGACCAGGTCAAGCTAACATTTTCGTCCCTTGTAAAACTTTGGCAAGTATTGCCCTCTGGCTGAAATTAGTGTCTATCTAAGTCCGGAGGATAAAAGAGTCAAAAAATTTAGCCTAGGGGTCTACCTACAACAACAAAGAACAGTGACAAAAAATGATATTACTAGGGGTTTATGTGCAATTAACCCTATAAAAATGTATCAAATAAACAGTTTTGCCCATAGGCACTCTATAAGAGAGGAGAGAGATAGAGAGAAATGAATTATGCACAGAAATTAATGCAAATCATGAGGGGCTCATGAGTTATTCATTTCTTTCTCTCTCTCTCCTCTCTTATAGAGTGCCCATGGGCACTCTATAGAAAAACACTCAAATAAATACAATAATAGTATATTAAAAACCATTGTTACTTCAATTTAAGGGCACTCTATAGAAAAACCCTCAAATAAATACAATAATAGAATCTTAAAAACCATTGTTACCTCAATTTAAGTCAATACGAGTCCTGTCGTAGCCAAAATTCTATGTTAGATCTCACAGCTCTCTCTTGCGTGCCGTCATTTTGATTGCTTGTCTTTGAAATTCAAATTATAAAAATCTAAATCTCCAAAGAAAAAAGAGAGAGAGAGAGAGATTTCCCTCTCCTACCTTGATATTGCAATAAATAAATTTCCCTCTCCTACCTTGATATTGCAGTAAAATATTTTAGGAAGAAGAAGAAATTATGGTAGTATCCCGTTTGTCGTTGTTCCAAAATCCCAAGGAGAGAGAGCCTTGGAATATGGGCAACGGGAGACAAACACAAAAGCCTCCAAAATCAAATTTGGAGTTTTCTCTCTTAATTTTTCTAGGAGATGAGGCCGGCTTAATGGTATTTTTATTATCTTTTTTCTTCCTTCTTTTTTATTTATCGGAGTTTTTTTGCAACCATCAATTTTTAAGTGGCTAGTGCGGAAAATGGGGCAACTAGCGGATGGTTAAAAAAGAGTTCAACAAGGAGTTGGAGAGAGAATTTTACTCTATTTAGCAATCCTAAACGCATCGAACTTATTTTTTTTTTCCTTTTGTTCCGGAATAAAATGAAGTAAATAAATTATTTATGTTGCTAGGAATTTTTTTAATCGGATTAATTTCTTCATTGGATATTGTATCTCAATGGAAGTCATAAGAGAATTTTGTTATTATCTTTTTTTTTCTTATGTCTACACATTGCGCAGAAGGAATAAGTTTTCACAATAGTTAATGCAAAATTGTAAACAAATAAACGCGATAGTTATAATGTCAAAAAGGTAGTAGTTGCAAAGAATGTCTTCAATTCCCGCATTAATATCTGTATGTAAACCAGGGTAACTGGGTAACCTACTCTCAAATACTAAATAACTTAGTTCAGATGATATCATCTTGTGGTTGATAATGAGCTAAAATGGATTAGTCGTTATAGGTATCATAATGACTTTTCTAGCTTGCGTGTATGTTTACGATCGAACGCGAAAAGTCCAGAGATTTTTCTAGCTTGCGTGCATGTTTGCGGTTGATCGTCACGCCACTCGCGGTCGACCGCTGGAAGTCCAAAGCTGTTTTCTGTCAATTTTCTTGTATTCTCTTCAAATGCTACATTTGAGACTCTTGACTATCTATTTAAACCCATTGAAACTTCTTTGAGTATTCAATATGCAACTAAAGGTTGGGGTATTACAGCTACTGTTAGTCAAAAAAATTTTGCTAGATAGATCAAGCACAAGTCTTGGACCATAGAAGTTAACGTTTGCATGGACATATGATCTTTCAAACTATATATTCCTCTATTTATTTTTTACAAGAAAACATAATATTATATTAAATTTGTAATTTTAGTCTAAATCATCTATCAATAGTTCTAATATCTCTTCCATAAGGAAAGATAAACCATGCACAGCTTTTCCTGCTCCAAATTCAGAATAATGTGATATGAAATCAACTCTTCATGATACTGTCAAAAAAAAATTACGAACTCAGTTTATAAGTGGCATATAAACTAAGTTGGTAAACTGAGTTGGTAATTTTTTTTGACAAAGTATCATGAAAAATTGATTTCATATCACATTATTCTGAATTTGGAGCATGAAAAGTGTGCATGGTTTATCTTTTCTTATGCAAGAGATACTAGAGAGATTGATGGATGATTTAGACTATTGATAGATGCTTTTTTACAATTAAATTAAGAATATGTGTTAAATTAAGAATCACTTTGCAAGACTCAATGAAATATTGGGATGTGATATATGCCACTTACAAACTGAGTTGGTAAATTTATTTGACAAAATATCATGAAAAGTTGATTTCATATCACATTATTCTGAATTTGGAGCATGAAAAGTGTGCATGGTTTATCTTTTCTTATGGAAGAGATACTAGAGAGATTGATGGATGATTTAGACTATTGATAGATGCTTTTTTACAATTAAGTTAATAATATATGTTAAATTAAGAATCACTTTGCAAGACTCAATGAAATATTGGAGTAAACCAATTATTTTAAAGACGTGCTAAAAAAATAATGCGGTACATGGTACCTCAGATGTGGCGGTACTAAGTATTTATGATGTGGAAACTTTTCTCCATCCAATAAGAAAGTATGTAAAATCTTATCTTATAATACTTCTTACTTTGTATATAGAATAGAACTAAAATACAAATAACTAAAAATGGAAGTTCCCTTTCTTAGCTAATAAAATGTCTTGCTCAAGATATTAACTGCTCGTTGTAGTTGCCGGTGTTTAAAAATATATATCATCCGACGTCTCTTTTATCATTTTCGTCTTTAGCCAAGTAGAGCGAGCATGCCAAGGTTTAAAAAATATATGTTTTAAGTAGTTGCGACCTGCAGGATTAAATTTCACAACACTACTCGTCTTGTACAAAATCTCCAAAGTTAAATGAGAGCTTTTATATTTATACTAAATTTAAACGTCTTTATTAATTTTAGGTTAATGTAAACGGAGCATATCATAAAAGCAAATAATAAAGTCGGTGCAAACAATCAATTTTAAACAAAATTATGAATCAACACAACAACGCAATCACCAAATAAGATTTTTAGGACGCACCAGACTTCTCCGTACTGAAAATCGTGGGCGCCGCCAAGTGCTCCGACCGACAAGGAAAGCAAGAAACAAATACAGCAACAGAGGGCGAGTTCAAAACAAGATGCACGCGGGGGAAAAAAAAAAGCTGTTGCTCACGATAGTGACAATTTGCAACCTCAATTGCTTCGAAGTGGGGAAAAAGAAAAAGATGAAGAATGAGATTGCCGATTACTATATTAGAATGTAACAAACTGATCTCAGAAA